TAATAAAACTTGCTCAAATGATTTTTTATAAGAACCTATTTAAAGAAAGGAATTTGAAAATTTGTTAAATTTTAGAAATCTCTTTAAAAAATCTTAAAAATCTGAAGAAGTTTGCACTGGTAATAATTTCTATTTTTGCTTCTAAATGCTGTATCTTTGTGAACAAACCTCTCTGAAAATGAAATATAGAAATTCAAAATATTGAATATCACCACCCAATAAATGGACTATTTATAAGTTAGTTAATGCTATTTTTGTGCTTTTTAACTAATGTCTGACCTTCCTGTAATGCTCTATAAAGCTGTTACACATACCCAGCACCCAAAATTATATAACAATATTCTTAATCAATAATATACAAGATACTGAATGTTGCATTATTTTATTAATGTACTAGCTTACCCGTCGCGCATTGCTGCGATCTCAGAAGAAAGGAAATTCAAGCAAACTCGTTATGATAAAATTCAATTTACATTTTATTATTTTTATTGAAACTTATTATTATTATTAATTTTCATTGGAAAAACATTTCAAAGTGTCGTTTCAATTCTATTTATTTATTGGAGTGTTTGTGGATACACGATATTTTTTGTTTTTCCGTCTGGTGCGTACACGAATAAATCGGAAGGTTTTCCGACGCGTGAGCCGGCCACATACAGTTGTCCATGTGAGAAGCACGGATTCTCCAAATTTAACCCACACACTCGCAGCGATTGTCAGAAGTGCGATATTCCTCATTTTTATATATATTTTTAAAATCCTTTATAATTTTAATTATTTAATTGTTCCTTCCTCTCTTCCTTGGCATGTTGTGAAATTTCTGATAGTTGGGTAATAAACCGTTTTATTGTAATTTGTCTTTTTAAATTATTTTGAGTCAATATTAAAATTTGGAAAAGGGGGGATACCTAGATCGGTAAAATACACGAATTTCTTCCTACAACTTCGGTTGTTGTTCAGGGTACAGTTAAGGTTTTAACGAAGTTCGAGCGAATACGTAATTAGCAAAAAAAAGTTGAAATAAAGTGATTAAACAAAAATTATTATAAATATCGTAAATAACAAATGCATATATAGAGATATCTTTTGAAAGGGGGAAATGGTCTTCACAATTTGAAATCGATCGAACACACTGTCTCGATACACTCGTATAAACGCGCGCCATCTATCGTGGGTTAAATGTACTATGCCAGAAACCTTTGCGGGTGTGTATTAAAAAACTTTCCTAAGTTTTATGGCAATCGTACTATGCCACAAACCTGCGCGAGAGTATATTAAACAACTTCCCAAAGTTTCATGGCAATCGGATAAACGGTGTGGTAATGCATGAAGGACATAAGACAGACACACAGACACACACACAGACATACATTCATTTTTATATATATAGATAACACATAAAGCAGTAACATAACTAGTAGTTTTCAATGCAATACTTCAGTAACAAAAATGAATCATTCTATCATTATGAAATATTCTTGTAAACATCCCGACCCCTTGTATATTCATCCCCTATATACATTATGTAATTTATGGACAGCCCAAATATTTAAAGGAGATTTTAATATTGGATACCACAAAATTTAACTTCAATTTTGACAATAATCTTTCAATTTGCAACTGGTTTAGTTGCAAATTTTACATTGGTTTATGTCCATTATTGTTTAGCAATAAAACAAATATTAAAAATTAATATTGATCTTCGACTATATCTTTCATATCTGTCTCTAGGCTTGCTTTTTATTCTCATGGCCCTTCTCAGAAAAAGTTTGGAGACCCCTGAGCAAAAGTATTGTTAATTAATATGTAAATTTTTTTCTTTCTTTCTTAGAATATCTTATTCCTTAATATTATATTTTCTAGTAAAAAAAGTATTTGTGACTGTTCAAAATGAATTTAAATTTATATTCTGAATAAACATTTTTATTTGGATGCAACAAATATCATCTTAATACACATTCTTAATTAACAATTAGATAATCCAAGAAATATAATCAAAATAATATATTTATTTAATATTGCTGTAATAACTTTAATTATTTACTTAATTAATTAATGACTGGATAAATTACTGAATATAGAAACAGTTAGTGGGGCAGAAAACTTGTGACACACTCAAAATCGTAATGATGTATTGTCCCTGTAAATACTCAAGTCTAAAAATGTTTTGTTTTTATATCATAGTGCAGGGGGTGGGGAACTTTTTTAGTCATTATCACAAAATATATTTATGTAAGTTGTTATTAACCCCCCTCATTTTGAAAAGGAGAAATTTGATACAAATTTAAATTAAACATTATTTATTGAATCGTTTTACACTGAAAATGAAAAAAGTTTATGAAAATAATAAATAATAGACAAACCAAATAAAATTATCATTTTGGAACAAAATAATTTCATTGAAAACTTTTTTCTCTTCAGGTTTTGGAGAAATGATGATGTTTCATGTTTGATATAATAACTTCAAAATTCGGGCATTTTGATGTCAGAGCAATTTGAATAGTACCTAACAAGTTGCTGTCCAGTCTGTCTTTTGACAGACATTTCTAAATTTACAAAGTATTCTTGCGGTTTGGAAGACAGGTGTGAATGCAAATTATCCAAATGTTTCTTCAATTGACTTTTTTTGAATGATTCTGAAGTCAGTACTTTCAAATATGTAACACACTGTGGTTTATTGTACCCTTGTCTTTTATTTGTGTAAACCATATTTAAGGAATTCTTCCTTTTATGTTCTTTTCCTTTTTCTATCTGCTGTCATCTGAAGGGTGAAAAAACTAGAGGTTTAAAAACTCTTAAATTAAATTTTAAAATTACAACTTACCTTGATCATCGAAATTGGTGATGAAATGGTGTCCTCATATTCACATATTGCACAAAAAATTGTGTAAAAACAAAAAGGGCACAATTAACATAAACAAAGGCTCATCTTAATCCTCTTTGTTACTCTGGCAAAAAAGTTCGTTACTCTGATAAAATCTACCACCGCAAAAAATTAATAGACGACAGATGTCAGCACTTGATGGCATCATGTGGTAACATCCATTGTTTCATGTAGATTTGTCGAGATGGTGTTTCGTTACCTTAAAAAATGTTAGTTAATGCTTTTTTTCCTTACTTTATTTTTTCATGATAATTTTTAATTTTATTTTTAGCATATTCATGCAATAATATTACTATAATGAGTTCATTCGTGCTATAATAAACTTATTCAGCTATAATAAGTCAATGTGTTATAAATAATCAAGTTGTTACCTTCAGTTCTGACACTTTATATATTTTTTATTTTTTTTTAATCTAAAATATCTAAATTCCTTATTACCCCCAATAATTTTATTTTTACCCCAGTTCCTAGACCACTGTCATAGTGCTTTCATTGATAGCAAATGTGTGACATCCCTATGAGAAATCTCAACACTTATAGATAAGTTGTACTTTTGTATATGAAGTCATCACTTTTTTTATCTTTTTTTTGTCTTTCTCCACCAATTGGATGCAATTCTTTTATAACTCATAGTATTCACTTAAGTATAGTGAATACTTACTTCACACATCAAACTAAGAAACATATCACCATTATGTTATGGTTTCATTTTTTATATAATATAATATATTGTAAATTTACAAAAATAAAAATATATATATGAATATAAAAACATGTTTTAACATTAATATGATGTAAAAGTGATATCAACATACCCATAGAGATATGTCATTCTCTCATTCTCTTTGTCTCTACAACAACCCGAATTTTCAAAAGGAGTTCTTGGTGACAAATGTTATGGCCCAAAAGTGCTAGAACATTAAATTTAAAAAATGTTTGTGTTAGCTTTAGTATTTTTTGTACTCATTAGAAAAGAAGAAACTTCTCAATGCTTTAGGATTATTTTGTGAATATTTATTAAAAGATATCAGAATCAAAATTATTTGTGTTATTTATTTGATACACTTCTTGAAATAATAATGGTAGAATAACATTTCAAAATAAATAAATAGAACCCTTGACAATATTAATTTGTTAAATAAGTTTTAATTAATTAATTTTTTTAAATTTTTAAAGTTAATTTGAATTTAATGAAGGCTATAATTTTATACAAGGAAATTATAATTCTTTATTATGTAAATATAATATTTATTGAATTAATTTGAATTTTGAAATATAAAATATTCATATTTTATTTATTTAATCATAGTTACTTTTAATTTTTATTAGATCTCCAAAATATGTAAACTGATACATAAAAAAAATATTTTAGTAGGAAAAAAAAAATAATAATAATAATAATAAACATTTAAAATTTAAATGCTTTCAAGCTCATCTGCTCATCATCATCAGGATGCGCAAGAATAATTCTGTTGCTACATAAGCATAAACATAAAAATCAAACAAAAATTATTCTTATACGTTCCCGATGATGATTAATTAAGCTCAAAAGTACTCAAACATTTAATTTTTTTAAAACTGATTAATATATGAAAATTTTTTTCGTTTGTCATAAAAGTTACATACAGTAGAACCATGATTATCCAAAGCAAAGCAGAAGGTGAATACACTAAGTTTCTTATACTGTAATTAATAAGAAAAAAACTGTTTCAAATGTTAATGTTACAATGATTATAAATGTTACAAAATTATTTGTTTCTGTTACCTTTTATCATTTAACTTTAATGTAAGGCAAGTCATTCATATTAAAACACAACATAATTACCTTACATTTTAACTTATATTTAATTGTATATTGAAGTTAAGACCGTTTACAAAAATATACATTTTCGAGTCTATTCTTTATCCATTAACATAACCATAGAAGTAACAGTTAAATTGGCTTGAAGAAAAACTTCATTAAAAAGACCAATAATAATAGATAAAAAATTCACAAGTTAAAAACAATATCAAACGTCATCCTTTTATTGTAGGATCTGACATTTTTACATCAAAAACAAAAGGTACATTTTCTCACCATACTATTTTAATTANTTTATAAATTACCATTGTTTCAGATGATAAACATGCAATGTGAACCGCATACAGAAATAAACGAAAATGTTGTAGAAATGCCAACCGTAGAAGTTAATATAATCGATGAAAATGAAAATTCAATAGCTGAATCTACAACTTTCGAAAACTCTATTGGCGGAATGCAGATTTCGGTAGATTCTGCCCCGGAAATCCAAACCGTCGCCGAAGAATCGATTAACAATTTGATCGCAGTCACTTCTGACGAAAACAGAACTCTAGATATTGGATATATAAATCCTCAGATATATCCCGAGCACAACCAAAATCTTCAAGATGAGGTATGATTAATTTGTCTAATGAATTTTATTATTTATCGAAATTATAAAATATTAAAATCAAACATGGCCATTTTTGTTTTCAGAGAAGAGGTGTATTCAGAATCATTATCAAGTGTTTGCTCATTGCTGTTGTGTGTTACTACCTCTAAAAGCCAGAAGTAAAAATTTACAATCTAAGAATTTTCGTTATTTAATTAATTTCTTAACTAGAATGAATCACAAAAAATGGCTTCAGATAGAAAAATCTATTATTATTATTTAATTTTTTAATGAAGTTTTTTCTTCAAGCCAATTTAACTGTTACTTCTGTGGTTGTGCTAATGGCTAAAGAATAGACTCGAAAATGTATATTTTTGTAAATGGTCTTAACTTCAATATAGAAGATATCCTGAGTTGTCATGAAAATGTAATTATATTTAATTACCAAATTTGTCTGAATGTAAGTCATTTCAAATATAGGTGGCCCCTAATTTTGTTTGTTTCTTTCTAAAAAAAAAAAGTTTCTCCTTAATATATTACAAATTGACCTAGAGAATACCAAGTATCAGTCTTATTTGTGGGCAAATCACAAACTCGACCACCTGTTGGTCAACCTCTTTGAAGCAACTGGATTTAGGCCCACAAAGCAATTTCCATGTCTGATGAAACTGTTCCAGTACAGACTTTGTTTTTCTCCGATCACACGTTTTTCTCAAACCTGCGAAGCATGTGGACAGCCATACTGTTGTTGTTTTTCTCTGTATATGAGCTTGAACTTTACATCAAAGTTTCTGAGAGAATGTTCGGATACTCATTTTGACTGGGTTGATTTTAGTTTTAGTTCAGTCAGATCTTCATTCAACAATCCATTTCCATATATTAAGAAGAAATGTGGACTGTCCAAAATGTTATAATTCAGGATTTCCTGCAACCTTGTATAAAAGTGAAATATAGAGCATAGAATATTGCTCCATAGTTTAATTATAATCTTATAAAAATAATTTTATTTGCATAGAATATATTGCCATAATTTATTTTATGAAAAAACTTCTAGAACATGATTAAGCACACTGAACAATCATTTTTCCCCACCTGTATTTAGATTCAGTATATGCATTTAGGTCAAGAATACATTTTCAGGCCTAAGATCGGAACAAAACCATTGATATGTATTTGGGCAAATGTGTTACTGAAAAGTTAACATTCTTGCTGGAACATGCTAAGTTCTGCATTTAATTTTAATATATTATAAAATTTGACATTTATTTGAGTAAATGGAGACAAAATTCTCCAAAATATATCAGATATCTACAGAGAAATAAGTTTTCTTTAAAGGATCTGTCTGTGAATTTACCTAATTATTTTGCTGTTTATTTACTTTTAAAATATATTTCTTTTGTTGCAAAAATAGTTAATTCTAATCAAAGCAAATTTTAATTTAAATCACTTGTTTGTCTGTGAAGTAAATTCAAAGTAAAGTAAAGCTATATTTTATTTTATTACACTTAAAAATATAGTTTTAATATGTGCATATAAGATTATTTACAAATATTTTTGATATTTAAACCTCATTTACTATATTTTACTAAATAAGTATTGATTTCTTATAGAAATTATAATAAATCTTATTTAATTTTCAGTTGCCGTATAGTTCAGAAAAACGTAGATTTAGTCTAGGTCATACTTTACCTTCTCAGAGTAATATTAGTGGACAAGGCATGGGAAATTCTTTTCGTGAACGAGTAGGCAGTAACAGAATACACGATCGACCGAGATCTCGTTCTGGATCAAAAGCAATAGAAAGAATCAGGATAGATTTTTCTGGAAGTGGAAGAATTTCTCCTGCTGCTGAAGCTGATGCTAAAGTAAATTATATTTACTTTAATTATTTTATAAATATTTTCAAAAAATTATGTTTTCTTTCTTTTTGCTTTAATTAGCTGGCTGGTTCTAGTTCTTCTCTAGAAATAACACAAGAATCAAACACGGGAACTAGTGATGATATGTAAGTTAACCAGATATTATTATTCGATAGCTAATAAACTTCTCTACATATAAATAAAATTAAGTTTTGCCTCTCTTTGGCATACTTGTTTTGCACATAACTGAATTTGTTTAGGGTACAATAAAGCAATTTTAAAAATAATAATTTATTTACTTTAAAATGTATGCTCTCCTCCTCAAACTAGTAGTGTCTTGCCTCCAGTACAGCATACTTTTCCTTTAACAATAGAGTTATGCCGGTTCTAACACCCTTTCAAGGAAAATTTTTTGAATTGAAATACAGTCGAGTCTTCATAAGTCAACACACCAAGGGGAAATGGAAATGTGTCGTTATCCGATATGAAGACTAAAATGAAGTTGAAAAAAAAAACCACAAAACTACAATTAGGAAAATACAGTAGTGCAATGTACCCCTCTGACCATCCATCACTGGCCTAAAGTTGGTTTATACTCCAAGTACCCCAGCAATTTCCACCGCTTTTTGTTTCAGTATCAGTCCCGAAACAGGAAGATTCAATGAATGAATTTGATTTAGCCAATGTACCAGAGCATCTTTGACATCTTTGTATGGCGACCTTCTCTGGCGTTTGAGATAGCTGCGATGAAAATCCAAGAAAAGTTTCTTAATTTCCTCTTTTTTTCTTTGGGATTCCCACCAATGTTGTTCTTGGAAGGTTTTTTTTTGTTTTGCAAATTCAGCTTGCAAAGTTGTCTTACATTCAAATTCAGACACAAGTTTGTATTTTTCCTTCAGCGTTGTTAGCTTTTTGGACACTAGTTTCTAACAGAAATGTGAAACATGTGCTACAAATAATGCATGATGTGAGAAAATGCAAAATCGGATTCTGCTGTGATATGATATAGATTGTATTTTTTTTTTTTTTTTTGTTTGTCTGTTGTTATTTTATATGTAAAAATACATAAAATGTTCAGTCATTTTTATTAATATGTATATATTAATAAATAAGTCGACTCCCCTCCTGAAAAAAATGAGCTTGCACTGTAATGTGATTTCCAGTTTGCATTGGAAGTTCATATATAGTTAATTGGAGCATCCTGCCTCTAAGGTTTCCATATCTAGTTAAACTAAAAGGATACTAAAGTTCAAGTAAATACACATATATTATTCATTTAAAGCCAAATGTTTTCCGAGATGTTAAATTAAGAAAAAATCCAGATATGAAAAAATATGGTTATTGTTTTGTTTTTGTGATTTTGCTTCCTTAAAGAAGTTTGAAATAAAAATTTCAATGTATGCTAAACAAAAATGTCTTCTCTTCTTCTTCCAACTTTAGCCAAATAAGATTTCCAAATGACTTCTTTAGCACAAATCAAAAAGTTTATAAAAAATTAATGAATTAGAAAGCATATCTAAAAAATTAACTTCATTATAACTTTGTATAGTATTTTCAGTTTTATTTATTTTAGTATGAAGAATCCAAATTTATAATTTCAAATTTATTATTTTTTTCTCTTTCACAACATATATGTAATTATATATGCATTTGAACTTTAAAGCAGTTACACAGTTTTTATTTATCTTGAATATCAATAAAATAAAGTATTATCATTGACTGTTTAAAATTAATAGGAAAAAAACAAATTATAATCACATAATGAAAGCAAATCATTTATTTTGCTTTATTTTTTAATATATCCAACAATTTTTTTATAGAAATGAAGAATCAAAATGGCTGAATCTTAATTCCCCATTATCTAATGTGATAGAAGTTATGAAGCATCCTATGTAAGTAAATTTTAATATTTTTATTTTATATAGTCATATGTACACCATATTTTATAGTATTAATAATAATAATGGTAAAATATACTGATTATATTCCTTTCTTTTAATTTAAAAAAAAAAACATTTTTAGTTATAGTGTCTAGTTATATTATTATTTCATTTCTGATTGCCAATTAAATTAGTAACAGTTTTTTAAATTATTCATTTTTTTGCTTAGCGATGGCTTAACTTTCCTAACTAATCAAGCTAGTTTACCTCCTTGGACATTTATTAGTGGTGAAGCTGTATTTTGGTTAAAAGAGCATGTCGAAGATGTTGTTTCAGATTTACAAGCCATAAAAATATTACAGGTATTAGTAATTGTATTTTAATATAGTATATTTTCATAATAATGTGTATTGGCTCATAAATATATATATTTTCAGGAAATGCAAAAGAAGAAATTAATATGTCATGCATCTGGTGAATCTAGATTGGAATTTTTTCATGGATTCTATCTTTATTATATTGTACCTCAAGAAAAAGATATAGGTAGCATGTTATTAAAATTTTTTATATTTATTTTTCATACAAATATTAGAACTCAAGTTTACATAACTCAGAATAATAATTTTAATTGATTTCTCATAAGTACTGAAATAAATTAGTATCAATCAGTCAATCAGGAGAGCATTCTATGAGAATCAATGGAAACTTATTTTGTACATTACAATTTATAACTTAAAACACAATAATACTACTATAATTATTGAGAATTATATTTTATAGTTCACTTTGCTAATATCTCAACTAATTTATCATATGAGATTGTATAGATTAGTGAGGAAAAGTTGAAAAAAGACTGCAAACATACATATAAAAAAATTTTATATTATATTTTCTTACATATATTTCTGTTAAAATATGTACTACATAATAATTTTACAAATGTTATATTTTTAAAACATAATCTGTGATTTCCTTTTGTTGTTGGCTGGAGTATGTAACAGAAAAATAAACAAAAATTGGTTCAGATTAAGCAGAGTTTGGATTAGTGAGTGTACACTATATTTTTAAATTATAAAAGCTTTGGTCTTGATTTAACATGTACACTGTTAACTATTAATTTAGAGATCTGAATGTTATTTAGTTAACTAGTGAATTTTATCCTGTTTATGAATAATTATAAATTACAATAGAATGACATCATTCTTTATTGAATATCATCACAAATTTTTGTTTGAAGACCAATAATTCTTGTTACATGAGTATGACCAATATATGACAAAGTCAGTGACTATGACCAATAGAAAGAGATTTAACATTTAAATCAGCATTATTTTCTACATTTTGTAAATTTAACATTCATTTTATAACTATTCTAACATATCTTGGATGTGTGCATGAACAAACTGTTGTTTTCTGAGAGATCTGAATTTTGGTGATTTTACATATAAACTAATCCCCATGTTTGTGAATAATTGGGACTGAGTAATCCTTCATGAACATAAAAATTCTCAAACTTTGAGCTCCATTTTCAATGTTAAAGTTGTACATTGTTCCAAGACTTTTTGTATTACTGCTGTTTTAAAATAATTTAAGAAAAATGAATGGTTTTACTAAATAAATATACTTTGCAATGGTTTATAGTGCTGCAAAAGTCATTTTATTTAAGCTGAAAGAAAAAAAAAAAAAAAACAGTAACATAACTTATGACAGACCACCATACAAATGAGTGATTGCAGTGATCTTTTAGCATCGCACATGCTTGAACATTTAGTTCTCTCAGATGACAACTCCAGTTTACAGTAGTATGTAATCTCCTATTTCCTGAAAGGTCAAAACCTTTCACAAAAGTTGAAATTTTGGTGCATGAATATCCAGTCATGAATGATCAAATTCTCAAACACTGATTTCATAAACATCAAGTAGTGTATTAGCAGCAATTATTTGACAGTTCAAAACTGGCTGGTGTCTCATTTTCCAAATAGGATTAAATTCTCCTGTTACTTTCATTTGCTAACACATACAAAATTGATATTGTTTAACACCTTAATTCAAGAAGAGAAAGACCATCTGAGATTATGAATTGTTCTGAAGACTAGATCAAAGAAAATACTTTTGAATGTTTGCAAGTATTGGTGAAAACTGTTCTTTCAGTATTTGTCAATTTCTGATTTGTTTCAAATTCTTTTATTTTATTAAAATTGATAAACAATGCTATTGATATGAATAATTGGTATTTTCATCATTTCAATTGGAATTGCAAAATTTTGAGATTGTTCTATGCTTAATTTCATTTTCCTATAGATGCTTTTCTTTCTTTAGAGAGTCTGATTGATTATAGTATTTTTTAACAAATTTAACATAAAACAAATTATATAATACATAATTGCACACACAAAACAATTTCAAAATACATTTTATAATTTTCATATTTTCAAGTAAACAATTTTTTGATTGCATGCTATCAACTCAATAACATTGAATAAATCAATATTTATTCGATGTTTTGTATTTTAATGTACAAAAGTTATTTATTAAAAAATTAAATGAATTATTTTTTTTTCAAAAAATAAAATAAACATTATTTTGTTACATTTGACAAATAATATGAAAAAATTTATTTGAAAAATTTCTCAGTAAATACTATTACATTCCAAATTAAAATTTATATTTGACATAAGATAATAAATAGTTCAACAAATGAAACTTGAATGTACAGGATCATGTATGTATGTCATATTACAATAACTAAGAGTAACACAAGAGTACATATATTGTATGTATGTATCTTTATATCATGTAAAAGTAAAAGTATTAGACATGAAAAAAATCAGTTAATATTCTAAATTGTAAAATAATCTATTTTTTGGTAATGAAGTTTTGATATTGTATTTTCAAATTATGTAATAACTTTACAAATCAAAGACTATTATGCTAATGCCAAACAATTGCAGGATTACATTGGGTTATAATAATGTTACTGTTAATAATTAAATGTGAAGTAATTTAGCCTAGAGGTAGGTATTAGGGTCCTGTATATAAATAATAAATTTAAATATTAATTTAATTATAAATAATTAATTTAGAATTAATCAAAACTTTCTAGTTCCAGTACAAGTTAATATTTTTATTAATTTAGAAGTTTTTGGAAGAAAATAGCCTGATGTAATCAGTAATTTGTTTGGCATTAATCTAAAGGTTGGGTTATTGGATATTTGATTAATATAATAATTTAGTACACCAATTCGTATACTGATATGCTAATTGTTGGCTTCTTCTTGCCCTGAAGGCACTAAGAGGGCTTGCTCCGTGTCCAGAATAGGTTGGTGAGAAATGACACACAACATATTAAAATAGAAATAAAATTTTCTGATGATTTGACCTGAATTCAAATTCAAGTCTCTCAAGTGAGCATGCCTGCTGTTCAGCAGACTAGCTCACTACCTAAGTCATTTAGCTAATTATATTAATAAACCATTGTAAGTTATATCATATTATAAATATATCATTATAAATTATTTAATTTCATAATCTTGACATATTTTAATTATTTTATTATTTCAATTTTTTAATTTTTCAAATAGATATTGAATGCCAAACTGGTGATCTTGAAATGTTTCAAAAAGAATGGTTAGAAGTTGAATTATTACCAATTAAGCATCCCTCAGATTCTGAAACTGGAGTTAATTGGTCTCTCAATAGTGATATTGATAACACTTATGAATTATCGGATGGAGAATCTCGTAAATATGAAATTTAACTTTATTACTTTTTATTAACATATTTTTATAATTTCATGTTTTATGAAAGGTTTGCAGTTAAAGAACACTAATATAGACATAGATGTTAGCAAAAAAAGTGAAAGAGTAGAATGGGGTCATGCTAAATATCATAGCATATTTCAACCTGCTGAAGCATTTGAAATTACAATAGAATGGATGGTTGCTACTGGAAATCTTCTTGCAGAATTGGTATATATTTTTATTTTATAAAATACTTTATTAAATTAATTTAGAGAAATTAACATTTTTGCTTCTTTTAAATTTAAATTAAAAACAGAATCTGTATCATTATTTAATACTTTCATATTTATCTATATATATATAAAAATGGACGTGTGTGTCCCTATATTTCACTTTTCAGCCAAAACTACACATCGCACATGAATGGTGTTTGTATGTGGTAGTAGCCCCAAGTCTCCATTCGTGCACTATGGTGGTTGCGTCTCGATAGCTATAAGGGTATGGGAGATATGGGGTTTAAAGTGGTTGACTTCGAAGATTTTCTATTTCAATTTTAAAAAAGTTTGAACCGTTTTAAATTCGAATTGGTTCGATTATAGAACGATTGTAAACGTTCCAGAAAATTGATCAAATTGAAAATAGTTCATTTGACTGGACGTAAAAATTCTCTAATTAGTCAGGAAACAAGGAACCTAATTCTTGCATTCTGTGCTATAAGGGTGTGGGAGATATGGGGTTGAAAGTTGTTGACTTCGAAGATGTGTAACAATGGAAGTGTCAACAATAGAAGTGTTAACAGTGGAAGTGTTAACAATGGAAACATTGTTAACACTTCCACCAAGTGTTAACAATGTGTTAATTGTTCCACCAAGTGTTAACAATGGAAACATTGTTAACACTTCCACTGTTAACACTTCATGGAACAAAGGAAGTGTTTCAGTTTGTCATCAAATATAACTCCAAGATCGAAATAAGATTTAACATATTTTACGGCAATTAATATAAATTGAGGGGGGAGAAATAGAAATCAAAATTTTCTATTTTGATTTTCTATTTCTAAGATTTTCTATTTCGATTTTTGAGATTAAAATGGAAATCATCTCATATCTGCACACCAAAACTTGTATTTGGCATTAAACATACCACAATGTGAAATATGCTTAACCTATATCATGCAAATGTGTTGCATTAGTCATGTCTCAGTATTCCTAATTAGAAGTACTTCTGCTACTTGCTGATATTTTTTTAGTGTTCTATGATTTTGTGACTTTGAGAACTGAAAATTTAAAACAAGCTACTCCTGTAGATAAATACTTCCTTTTCAGCTTCTCACTTGTCAGTGTTGTCTGTTTATATAGAGGATGTAATATATATCTAATAAGTAGAGATGTTTAGTTTAGTTTTAACCTGTTTGAAGTTTTGAACTTAAAATATACACTAATAACTTGATGGTCTGTCTTTATTCCATTTAGCACAAACAATGCAATGGACAATATTTACTAATCAGTACTGACAGAGTCAATAGATATACTGGTCCTTGAGCTATACTCTCAAGTAGAGTTAATGTGTGATGTTGCTGAAAGCTGGTGTTAGAATCGCATTACAGTGAAAAGTTGTTGGTTTATCTATTTGGTTAGTAGGTAGTTTTACCGTTTTCAAGCATTTTTTGTAACTTTTCTACTGTTCAGTCAAAAAAATCTTATTTGTAATTACATTTTTAAAAATTTTATATCATGTATAAAGAAAGAAAGTATATTTGGTTTATAAAAAAAATTAATAAGATGATAATTTTTTTTAATAATAATTTTGATAATAACTTTGATATTTTTCAATTTCTATCTTATTTTATTAATGCTTAACAATATAAAAAAAGATAACAAGGTATTGAAATATATATTGCATATTAAAAAATAATCTATATATATATAAAAATGAATGTATGTCTGTCTGTATGTCCTTCATGCATTATCACACCGTTTATCCGATTGCCATGAAACTTTGGGAAGTTGTTTAATGTACTCCCGCGAAGGTTTCTGGCATAGTTCATTTATCCTACTATAGATGGCGTGAGTGCATACGAGCATTTCATTGTGAGTTCAATCGATTTCAAATTGTGAANAAAATAATTAATTTATTTATAATTATTAATATTAATAAGAGATGGCGCCTAACGCTTACCTCTAGTACCAAATTTGTTATGTAATTAATATAGTAATTAGCCTAAAAACTAGCCCGATGGATTTACGGCGTACGTTTGGAGAATAGTGAGGGTACTTGTTTCTGGAAATTTGTAAATCGGTGACTAAGTGTAAGGGTGTATTTTTGTTCTGTAATATTTGCATAGTTTATATCAACGTTATATTTTCTGTTTGTTATAATGGCCACGAATAATTCAGTAGGAAGTTCAAGCCCCAATCAAGGCATTACCTCCGGTTCACCACTGGTAGTAACGGGATTCTTGGGCATGATACCTATATTCTCAGGGTCACAAAATGATGTGGGGGACGTGAAGCAATTTTTCCACACGGTCGATNACTTTTCTACTGTTCAGTCAAAAAAATCTTATTTGTAATTACATTTTTAAAAATTTTATATCATGTATAAAGAAAGAAAGTATATTTGGTTTATAAAAAAAATTAATAAGATGATAATTTTTTTTTATAATAATTTTGATAATAACTTTGATATTTTTCAATTTCTATCTTATTTTATTAATGCTTAACAATATAAAAAAAGATAACAAGGTATTGAAATATATATTGCATATTAAAAAATAATCTATATATATATAAAAATGAATGTATGTCTGTCTGTATGTCCTTCATGCATTATCACACCGTTTATCCGATTGCCATGAAACTTTGGGAAGTTGTTTAATGTACTCCCGCGAAGGTTTCTGGCATAGTTCATTTATCCTACTATAGATGGCGTGAGTGCATACGAGCATTTCATTGTGAGTTCAATCGATTTCAAATTGTGAAGACCATTTCCCCCCTCCAAAAAATCTCTCTATATATGCATTTGTGAACTGTTATTTACGATATTTGTAATAATTTTTGTTTAATCACTTTATTTCAACTATTTTTTGCTAATTATGTATTCGTTCGAACTTTGTTAAAAACTTAACTGGATCCCGAACAACAACCAAAGTTGTAGGAGGAAATTTGCCTATTTTACCAATCTAGGGATCCCTCTTTTCCAAATTTTAATATCAACTCAAAATAATTTAAAAAGACAAATTACAATAAAATGGTTTATTATCCAACTATCAGAAATTTCACAACATGCCAAGGAAGAGAGGAAGGAGCAATTAAATAATTAAAATTGTAAAGGATTAAAAAACATATATAAAAATGGGGAAATTCGCACTTCTCACAATCTCTGCAAGTATGGGGGCTAGATTTGGAGAATCCGTGCTTCTCACATGGACAACTGTACGTGGCCAGCTCACGCGTCGGAAAACCTGATTTATTCGTGTACGCACCAGATGGAAAAACTGGTGCGTACCATCATGTATCCTCAAGAACTCCAATAAATAAATAGAATTGAAACAACACTTTGAAATGTTTTTCCGATGAAAATGAATAATAATAAGTTTCAATAAAAATGATAAAATGTAAATTGAATTTTATTATAAAGAGTTTGCTTGAACCCCAGTAATATAAGGTTATATAAGGTGTACTGCTGCTTTCATTTGGTTACTTCTCCAGTTTTGTCAAATTGTTTTATAAATTTTTATTCAATGATTTAATGTCATAAATTATGCTAACTGAATGTTATATTAATGTATTCAACTTTTATATACTTCATGATACTGAGCTGATTACTATAAAATACTTAGAATTTATTACTTTTCAGGTTCAAGGATGGGCTAGAAAAGCATCTGCTTCTAATCTTCAATTAGTGCCAATTCCAAGTGATCCTTTTGCTTTGCCATTTTCTACGAAATCTGATCCTCTAAGAGGACCAATTTTCATTCCTTTGAATTTAGAATGTTTACCGGAAGCTGAAGTTCGTTTATTAAAAGGTATAGATTTGATTCAATGTATATACTGCACATAAATCACAATTTCTCATCATTATTAAACTATTTTAGAAGAGGGCCTCATCTCATTTCAAGAGAACATCTTAAAAAAATTTGGATTCATTCTTCATCGAGATCCCAACAATACGGGTCCTTCCCAATATGTACATATCAGCGGAAGTATGTTTGTCATCATTACGACACACAGTTCTAACGACCAACATAATTATCGTATTAGGGGCGGAAAGCTTGAAAAAGTATACAATTTTGTTTCTTAAATTATATTAATAAAATTTGATTTATTAAATCTCTATAATTATAGGAAGAACTGTATAGTCCCCACGAACAGTACATTACTAGACATTTTAGTGGTTTGGTAAAAAATGAAATGCCTTCCAGATCAAAATTTAAGGTTATAAAACTCAAATATTTTATTATTTGTAAAATAATAATAATTGGAGACGAGACAGTTTTTATTAAATTTCATTGTAGGTTGGATTTCTCTGGTCGTGGAACTACATGATAACGAAACGTTGGAAGTCACCGGCCACTGGCGATGAACAGTTCATGAGGAAAGTGATGAACAATTTTCAGATGTTCTGTGCCAATAAGAATGAGAGATTAAAAAATTTTTGGAATGAAACTTTTGCAGAAGAAGATGATCCATTATTGTATATGGAACAATAGGACGAAATTAATTTAAAAATAACTTAATACTCATGCATAATTTGTTTAATTGTTAATTTATGAATATTTTATAATGTATAAAAGTAATTTATATGATTAAAATTTTTATTACAAAATTGAGAAATTTGAATTAAAAATTTTATTGTTATGCACAGTGGCGGCCTTAGGGGTGGCAAGCAGGGACTACGCCCGGGGCCTCGCGCAACAACCAACTAGAAAAAAGTTGATATTTAAAACTTTTTATTTTATCCTTGGGATTATGTTATAACAATAAAATAAATTTAATTTATAGTACNTTATAATGGCCATGAATAATTCAGTAGGAAGTTCAAGCCCCAATCAAGGCATCACCTCCGGTTCGCCACTGGTAGTAACGGGATTCTTGGGCATGATACCTATATTCTCAGGGTCACAAAATGATGTGGGGGACGTGAAGCAATTTTTCCACACGGTCGATAAAATTGCGCGACTGGCAGGTTGGGATGATGAGGTGAAGGTGGCCATCCTACAATCAAGACTGAAAGGGGAACCCTTGAGAACGTTCATGTGCTTAATCGAACAGTACCCCGAATCGTATCTGGATATAAAGAGGGATTTGATAAAATGCTTTACTAAAAAAGGGGTGGGCGACAGGGATGTAGTAGACCAGTTAATGTCAATAAGACAAGGAAATAACAAATCGGTGACAGACTATTCTGTTCGCACTAGAACCTTACTTGCCAGGGCGGCGGTCAGTCACAAAAACATAAATTTATTGCGTGACGATATAATACTGGAGCGCTTCGTAATGGGTTTAAGAGGAGGCATGAGGAGTGGCGTGATGAGAAAAGCTCCAAAAACCTTGGACGAGGCATTCGAGATTGCCGAAGCTGAGGAATTGATTGAGGCCGAGGGCAGCGGCCGTTATGAGAGGAGAGTCATTAATTCTGTGATTGAGGAGAAAGACAATACGGCAGTAATGGAATGTGAGAAAATAGAGATACACGGGGATAGGTGCGGTGATAAAATAGATAAACTAGGGGAGAAAATCGACGCGCTGACAGAAGCTATAAGTAAACTAATAGATAATACGAACCAAGAGCCAAAGAGGGTCGACAAAAAATGCTACACGTGTGGGGATATAGGTCACTTCGCCCGCGGGTGCCCAAAAGGAGCTAGGGATAATTTAAACTAATTCAGGAACGTCACATAGGCCAGCGCGACGCTCCATGCATTAAGATTAGTCTGGCCAAAAAAAATGTCCGTATCACAAAGAGGTCTCCCTATGGTGCTAGGAAAGATTGAAGGGGTAGGATGTCTTTTCCTCATAGACACGGGGGCTGAGAAAACAATTATAAACTCCACTTTAATGAAGGGGGTATCGAACGAAAACATAATGGTCGCGACTTTGGAAAACGAAGGATTGGGGATCCGGGGTATAAATGGCAGGGTTACAGAATGCGATAAAGTACTACGGGCTGAGATGAAATATAAGGATCAAAGATGTAAAGTAAAGGTTGCATGTATGGGGTTACCGGATCACGTAGAATACGAGGGGATTCTCGGTATGGACATAATTGGGAAAATCTGTGAGATCATAGACGATGTAGGGATATCAATGAAAGGGGGTACCTACCACCATAGCAAACATCAAGGTGTTCGTGATGCATTTATGAATACCTCCGATATAGTAGTTAAAGGGTTGGATGGTTTGAGTTTAAAGGAGAAGGAAAGGGTCCATGAAATATTTAGAAAACACCCAAATTGTTTTGCCCAATCCATTGAGGAACTAACGAGTATGATAGGTGAATCCCATGAACCAATTGTAGATCAGAGTAAGCCTGTAAACACGCGTCAATACCGCATCCCTGAATGCCACCTACCAAAGTTAAAAGTGTTGATAGATGCATATCTAAAGGCAGGGATAATAGAGAAAAGCTATTCTGCCTGGAATTCCCCTATTCATGTTGTGGAGAAGGAGAACGGGGAGATAAGAATGACCCTTGACCTAAGACGAATTAACGATCTTACTGATATGCAAGAATTCCCTATAGCTCGTGTGGATGAAATTTTAAGCAAGTTCCACGGAAGCAAATACTTTTTGGTACTTGGCTTGAAATCAGGATATTTTCAAATTGACCTAGAGAAATCCAGTAGGCATATCTTCACTTTTTCGACTCCGTGGGGTAAATTCCAAATGTGTCGCCTACCTCAGGGGGCAAAGAATAGCGGAAGGTTTTTTCAGGCGATAATGTCAAAGGTGTTGGCTAGGTTTATAGGCATAAGTGCCTACGTCTTTCAGGACGACATAGTCCTATTCTCGAAGTCACCTGACGACCACATAATATTACTAAGCGAAGTCATAGAAACGTTAGATAAGGCTAATTTAAAACTTCACCCAGAGAAAAGTTCATTTATCGTTAAAGAGGTCAAGTACCTGGGTCATGTAATAAGCCAGGAGGGGATCCTNCTCGCTCTTGGAGGGGCCTCGCGCAACAACCAAGTAGAAAAAAGTTGATATTTAAAACTTTTTATTTTATCCTTGGCTATTAGTTATAACAATAAAATAAATTTAATTTATAGTACAGTATATATTAATATTAATAAGTGCCTACTATTTCAATTCACATACTTTGCACAAAGGATAAGGGCCTCGCAAAGATCTGCCGCCCAGAGCCTCGCAATGGATAAGGCCGCCGCTGGTTATGCATTTCACTATTTTTTAATTCTTTTTGTCTCTATGTCCTTACTCTTATCAATTTCTGTTTGTATACTTGGACCTTGTTAATGGGACTTATTACACTGGTATAGTTTCCAATTAGCAAATAGAGTAGATCAAAAAGTCAAAACAAAATATCAAGATTATTCTATTCACTATTTTTTATTTTTACTACCCTGTGGGTTCAAAGAAGTCTTTAATTGCTACAGGAAAATTATTTTGATCCTGAAATAATCAAACTCATAAAAATATTATTGAACTCTTAATAATTGACAAATATAATAGACATATTAGAGTATTCACATACCAAACTTCATAAATATATTTTCATAAATTACAAAATTATAGCATTTAAACAAAGTAAGAATTAAACAAAAGCATGGAATCATGAAAAATATTAAAAGTATGGAATAATGACGATTAATATTTTGTAGGCCCACCTTATGGCATTGTAGAAACTGGTATGAATAAAAATACGATAAAAAAATGATTTGTGAGATAATAGCAAGGTTGAGGCCAAAGTTTTAAATGCAAAAATATGTACATCAGATGTTCAGCACCGCTTTCCTGTAAGCCTAGAAGTTTGACAATGGTGTTTGGAATGTCGAACATGATTCCACTGACTATCCAAACACCATTGTCAAACTTGGCTTACAGGAAAGCAGTGCTGAACCTCAGACGTACATTTTTGCGTTTAAAACTTCAGTCTCAACCTCGCTAATGTTGGTAGAAAGGGGGTAAAAAGACAAGAAATATTACATGTTCTAACAGTGGATACACGAAGACTGAGCCAGTAATTGTAGATTGTTCCATTAAAATACAGGTAGCCCTCGGTTTACGCTGATTCACAATAACGCCACTGCGCAATTCGCCATTTTGAGGTGTAATTCCCCGATTTTCCCTTTGCTAGACTGATTTTCATTTCAGTGATAACGTATTTACCGAGCCACGACATTGTACATTCGTTAAAACAAAGATTTTTATTAAATATATTTATTTTTTCTGTTTAATATTATTGTGTATGTATACATTTGCATTAAATTAATATTAAAATACTAAACGTTTAGGTACCCACGAGTCAAGATATTAAACTTAATAGTCCAATAAATGGCGTCCGAATTCATAGCGCCAATGAATGTATCCCATATCAGTTCATTCAGGAAAACACCTTGTGGTCACCAGTTTGTGTGAAATTAATCATTGCAAACCAGGCCACATACAATAAAATATTAACATTTATTCTATATATGAATTATGGTGCGACTGTACAGGTTAAAACACGGAACGATACTACACGCGTCTGGAGAGGTCCAAATCCAACAAGAATGTGTGATGTCATAGGTCAGGTTTGTACAGTTCAGGGGTTCCCCCTTGTGGTGGCTTTGGAATTTATCGCCAAAGCTGTCGCCACACACCTTACAACGCAATAGCACTTCCGGCGATCACATTATCGTTAGTGAGACAAATTTACTTCTCGTTGGCCAGACGATATTTATCTCTTCTTAGCCACCTTGAATTTTCACGCTCAAAGTGACTTTATATACGCGCTACGGCAACCAGTGGTCGACCAATCAGTGTCTTCGCTCATCCGTAGCTCTACGTCGGGTTAACGTATCCTTTCAACTAAGGAAAGTTTGACGGATGAAGTTTGTGAGTTAGACAATGTTGGGAGTGAAGTGCAAATGTAAAAAGGAGCATCATATTCGACCATATTCCGAAATTCTTAATGAAAGAAATCAAAAATGTAAATAATTAAAGATGGATACTTTTTTCCGAAAAATGTAAGAAATTCGAAACTAAAATATTTAAATAAAAACATTNATTGAGAAGGAGTGTCTGTCAATAGTTCTATCTCTGCGCCACTTCAAACCAATAATATTAGGCTATAAGGTCGAGCTACATACAGACCATAAGCCCCTTATATTTATTAGCAATATGAAAAACCATAATAAGAAATTGATAAGATGGTCTACCGAGATTGTGGATTATGATGTAACTATCAATTACATAAAGGGCAAGCGTAATGGGTTGGCTGATGCGTTATCGCGCCCAAATGGTAACACTGAGAGAAAAGATAAAGAGGTTAATAGTAGCACGATGGAAAATAGAAAATTATGAGTAAAAGTGGTAGAGTCCCAGAAAAGGGATAGTGAAATAAAGAGAATATATGAGAGTTTAAGAAGGGCAGACCGTCAAGGGGTAACTACCGGGATTCAACCCGAGTACAGGTTAGATGGTAATATTGTGGTAAACGTGAAGCCCGGACGAATGGGGCTGAGGGAATGGACGCGTGTTTGTGTGGGGGGAGACATGATCAACCAAGTAATATGGTCGTTCCACAATTCGTCGAAGTTAGGTCACTTGGGACATGAGAAAACATGTAACGCAATTGACAGGTACTATCATATTAAGAATCTCAAGAAGCATGTGAAAGAGGTGATTAGGGGTTGTAGAACTTGCCAGCGGTTTAACATGCATAGGGGCCGTGCGCCTTTCCAGGAGTCAGAGTTGTCTGACTTTCCGCTACAGAAGGTGGCAGTTGATATTATAGGTCCCTTAAAACTGTCGAGAAGGGGAAATAGGTATATACTAACAGTAATAGGCATTTATACTCGTTATGCTGAGGCCATCCCAATCCCGAACCAGTCGGCCCAGGAGATAGCAGACAGTTTCTTCAATAATATAATATGTAGGTATGGTTGTCCCGATGTTGTGGTGTCCGATAGGGGGCGCTAATTTTACCTCTAGCATATTCTGCGAAATGTGTGAAGAGCTGACTATTAGACACAATGTTACTACAGCTTACAGACCTTGCGCTAATGGGATCTGTGAGCGATTTAATAAGACTATATGTGGAATCATAGCAAGAATATCGGAAGGTAATAACCAGGTTTGGAACGAACTCATGAACCCGGCATTGTTTGCATATAATAACACGTCACATACTGAGACCCACGAATCCCCTGCGTTCCTGTTATATGGTTTTGAGCCCCGTTTTCCGAATGCGTTCCCAGAGGACGATATAGGAAAAATAAAGGACACGAACCGTAATCAAGAATTCGTGAATAAACTAAATGTAATAAGAAGGACTGCATACGAGTTGGGAAGGAAGCGAAATTCAAGGAATAGGGGTAGAGAGAACAAGAATAAGAAAGGGAGCGTATGGAAGGAGGGCCAGAGGGTTTGGCTGCTCAGAAAGGGGAGAACGAAAGGCATGGGGAAATTCTCCCCTAAATATTTAGGACCATACCGGATATCGCGGGTTCTTGGGCCTGTGACGGTAGAACTCGGAGGTAATAAGCAAGATGAAAAGTGAGTGGTACACACTGATCGTATAAAACCGTGCTACTCCCCTGTTTGTAAAGAGTGGTGGACGGCATCCCATAGACGTCAGAGAAGAAAGGAGACTCCACTTGCAGATAACGATGTGGAGGAGGATGAACTTCATGAGTACCTATGGTTAGTCAGGCCGAGAGAACAACCAGTATCAAGCGTTACCGAGGAACAACAGGAGGGAGGCAAAGATGATCATCCCGAGCGTCACCGTGAAGAGGAAGACGTTGGGCGTCATCACCCATACAACACACGTGGTCATAAGATCAACTACCGTAGACTACACTACGGAGTGTGATTCTAAAGGGGGGGAGCGTATGTGGCCGGTGGCCATATCGGCATACGTTTATTTTATTTTTATTAGTATATACATATTTTTAGTTCTAATATTCTTTCCCTATTTCTTCGATTTCTTTGTGTGTTCATTCTAGAACATTCCATGACCGTTATAGCCTTTAGGGGGATTAGCGATTCTGTGAATCGCAAAGAACAATAGTGCAGGAAATTACCCCCCTCTGAGAGAGGAGAACAAAGAAGGGTGTGTAGAGGGGATGGCAAGAGGTAAGAAGAGAGAATCAAGGGAGACACGTGGAGAATAAGACGTGTCGAGGTGAACTCCGGACTTGACTGAGAGCCAAAGAAAGACAGACTTCTCGGGAGGGTCAAGCGACGGACTGGAGAGAATCAGAGTCCCCACGGCTGAAGGCCCAACGGCAGGGAAACTGAAGACACTTTACTTCACTAAGGAAGTAGATCTGAGGACACAGTAAGAGTTGGGAAGACAGTGCCAATAAAAAAGGATCCGACCTAGAGCGCAAAATCATATCGAAAAGAACGAGGAAAGTCCCGGGTGAAGTTGTTTCTTCCTTCTCNGTTGGGAGCGAAGTGCAAATGTAAAAAGGAGCATCATATTCGACCATATTCCGAAATTCTTAATGAAAGAAATCAAAAATGTAAATAATTAAAGATGGATACTTTTTTCCGAAAAATGTAAGAAATTCGAAACTAAAATATTTAAATAAAAACATTTTACTTTATTTTATGATAAAATACATTTGTATTTTGTATTATATTGTATTAATAAACAAAATCATTAACTTATTTTTCACTTATGTAGAACCTAACCCTATACCTCACTGTAAATACGGGTTCGTTTTACGCCAATTCGATTTGCGCCAGCTTTTGTAGGAACAGAACTGCGGCGTAAACCGAGGGCTACCTGTATAGCAAAGTATACAATCAAAATATTTTGAGGTTAGTGAGATTTGGTAATCCAAGACAAATTCTGGCAACTTCTGGGTTATTAGTATAGGGCAAATCACTAAATTTATACAGAAGGGAATAAACCTTGTTTAATTTTGTATTAACTTTATGAATAAAGATGGAGCTGTCATTGACCAAACAGAGAGGCAGTAATCAATGATTGACTGAAAGTTTGTAAAAACAAAATGACCCTTAAAATAGAATTTGAGGAAATGTTTTTATAAAAATGCCACAGAATGCCCCGTTTAATAGAAAGAGATTTGACAATATGATCATGAAAAGTCAGTTTGTCATCAAATATAACTCCAAGATTGCAATAAGTTTTAACATATTTCATGGCAATTAATATAAATTGAGGGGGAGATGGGTTACACATTAAAGAGTAACATGTGATTATGGTTTTGTGAATATTAATATTTAAGTTATGACTTGCAAAGGAAGAGCTTATTGAATTGATGTCTGCTTGTAAAGTCAGTGGGTCATTATTTAAAATTTTTTATATCGTCAGCGTAATCTATTATATTAGAGGACAAGTTATCAAAAAGTTTATCTATACAGGCAGAGAAGAAAAGTGTGCTTAATATGGATTCTTGAGGAATGCCACATATTAGAGAGGTTGTGGCCGATGTTTTCAATGCGAAAATGTGTACGTCGTACGTTCAATGCCGCCATCCTGTAAGCCTAGAAGTTTGACAATAGCGTTTAGAACATCAAGCATGATTCCACTGAAATTCCAAACACCATTGTCAAACTTCTAGGCCTATAAGAAGGCGGTGCTGAATGTCCGACGTACACATTTTCGCGTTGAAACGTCGGCCACAACCTCTCTATTATCAGTTGTTTCATCTGTTGTGGATGTAAATATGTCAATGGCTTAAAGGTGCTGGTATTTCACATTATCATGTAAGCAATTATATAAAGTATAGAGCAATAATATAAACCATAAACTTTCCTTTAGTTAATCTTTTCTGTTTATCTGCTGTATGATTATTCATAATTAGAAAATCTTCCGTCAAGCACAGCAGAATACTTTTTATGAGAAAGCAGATTGAAGAATTAAGAAGATTAGAGATTTGAAGAAATTCAATAAGAATTGCTAATATTTCTACAAATTAAGAAGTTTATACTATATGTTGTAACAAAGAGCAATAAAACAAAATTTCACCTGGAGAGAACAAAAATAATAGGAGATATACTGTAGAGAATTCACTTACGTGCATATAAACAGATGGTCTATATATTAAAAAAAATATTAAAATCTTTCTTTATACTCTATATTCCAAGTAAACACTCTATTGTCCTTTTAAAAAGTTTCTTTACAGTCTTCCTTTAGAAATAGACACTTTAATATTGTTTTGGTTTCTTGAACAGGATAAAGCAACAGAGTTGACCATCAGAAAATACTGGTTGGTTAAGAAAAATTCCCACAAAATCATATGTCTGTCCCTGAGATTTGTTAATAGTAACAGCAAAAGCTGGAATAATAGAAACTGTCGATGCTTTAGTATAAATGGAAATTTACATCACTGGGGCTAAATAAATATGTGGAATATTCACAATATTACCTCAGTTACAGTCAGACAATATTTCAGTTGTAATTAAATAAACTTATTCCATTGCAAAGACCTTTCTTTGGGCACAGATTCCTTAGGAGCATTATGACTACTACAGTTTTCAATATTAGCTGATGTGGAAGCATGCCTGATATAATAATTGTATTTAAAAAATCTGGTGGATAGTTTGTTATTAGCATGATCAGTTACTATAGAATCTATAATAAATTATGTTCTTCTGGTAAACACCTGATGATTTCCTGATTCTTCAGGCTTTCACCATATGTAGATGCAAGGATAACTTGTTTCATTAAGACTTCTGAACATAGGTTTTGTATATCAGTGCTGAAAACTGATTCCATGATTGAGCAAGTTGTAATCAAATCTGAAAGAATTTCAATCATTCCATCCATAGTTCCACCTATTTTTCCTGTTATACCTGAACAACTTTCAGAAGACATTCATTAAATTCATTTGACCCTCACTTCTCATATTTATCCTTAATGAAATCATTGAAAATTGTTCCCATAAACAACTGGATAAGCATGATTCGATTTCCATGAGATACAACAGGTAAAGTCTGACAGAAATCAGAGTCCAAAAGTCCACACACGTAGCTTATTGAAATGTGGAAAGAGTATTCCATTAAAAGTTTGTAGATCCTCAAAACACACAGCTCCTTTAACATGAAGTAATAGAAGTCTAAGATAAAATCTTTCCTTTTCATACATTCTTAGCACTGTTTTTTTCACCTTCTCTTTGTTCTGTCATTTTCCTTTGGAATACACAGTGATAAAAAATTTCTGTATTCGAAAAATTGTGAGCTTCTTCATCAGACAAATTAAGTGCAAAGTAATGTATTAGCTTTGTTATTTATTTTGTGCTGCTTCCAGTGTTTCTGCTTCTTGTCCTCCTTTAAAATAAACAGATTGATTATCAGGCAAATGATCCGGCAATCTTATTACAGCACACGATCTATCACACATTGGAAACTCTAACATTCACACATAGCTTCACTTGCACTTACGTAACATCTGTTAACAAAATTTGGAATTTCATCTACATCACATACGGTTTGTTGTTTATCACCAGATACAACTATTAAATTAGCAGTCACCTCTCATTTATATATTCGTATGTATACTCAACAGCTCGCAACGTACATACTTCCACATCGATACGTGCATTATATTTTATTCCAATATTTTTCCACATGCATTTCAGGACCTTTCCGATTTAATTTTTCCTTCGAGACAGCAAGAATTAAATTCACCATCTTGTGCGAAATGTAGTGCATTACAAAAGTGACACTTAACATTCGACGAACTACAGTCATATTCCAACACATTTTCTTCCTTAACCTGAACTGCCCCTTCTCCTATTAGTACAATCTGCTGGTCTAAAGAAACTATTCCTCTTTGAATGGGTCTCGTCTGGTCCACTTTGAGTTGAGCCGGATGCTGCAACATTGTTTCCGCAGCCCCGGACGAAGCCGCTCTCGATCCATTTTGCTCCGGTCGAGCTTGACGTTCCGACGTCGTTTCCGCAGCCTCAGACAAAGCCGCTCTCGATCTGTTTCTCTCGCGTCGAGCTTTACGTCGTGATGCCGTCTCCGTAGCCCTTAATGAGGCCATTCTCAATCTGTTTTCCTCCAGTCGAGCTTGATGTTGCAATTCTGATTCTGCAGCCCTTGACAAAGCCATTCTTATTCGATGTTGCTTGAGTCGAATTTCACGGTCTTCAGGGGTCTCAGTTGCTCTAAATCTTTTAGCTCTAGAATTTACTTGGCCAATTCTACTCCTGGGCTTTCCCCTAGGCATTTTTTTCTTTTTTTTTTTTTTGGCAAAACAGCAAGTCTTTTTAATTAATTCAAAGTTAATAAGACAAAGTTGAATTGTGCGTATGTCACGAGCGACATTTTCTAAACAACCGGCTCGTGAGATCCTTACTTCCAATTGGATAATAGAAAGTCACGTGGTCACTATGGAAATATAAAAAAAAAATTTGTTATAGAAGTGACACGATGAGGCTATCTTTTTTTAACGTATAAATGTTAAATCGAATGAAATAAGTTTAAAATACGCCATTTGCCAAAATATTTAAAAATGAAACTTAAGGGAAATTCCCTGGTCGAGCACGAACTAAATGACGTCACCTCAACGTGAGTGCGATCGCCGATCCGAAATCGATGAAACGTTTATTCCATTGCAAATATTTCCGCAAAATTAATAGCGTATACAGTACTTTCCGTCAGAAATAAAACGAATATAAGCAAAATTTCGTCTGGATTGGACAAAAATTGCGGGAGTTATAAAGAATTCACACACTGCTTTTAGTTTATCTTCACTCAAAATCTGTTGATGTTCATTTTTATTAAAATTTAAATATAAGCTTTGCTTAGGTGGAAGATGTGAAATTGTCCAAAAGATTGTTGATGTACTGAAAAATAAATCGTCGTTGTCAAATCTTAATTCGAGAACGAATTCTTCCGCGAGAAGAATAAGTTGTCCGGAAATACGTCAGAGATGTCACGTGGCGGAGTGATGCCCAAGCTGGATCACGTGATGCCACTCGTCCGCCGTCCAACGTGGTGTTCCGCGACGACGACGACAAGCTGAAGCAATGGTGCTTCGAATGGCGTATACTTGGTAATTAGTCCTACAATTTCTTTGTTTATAGTACTTTTTATACTGGTTGCCAAGAAAAAATTTTATGCGTTTTGGAAATTTTTATTAAATATCTCTCGTTTTAAAACAACTTAAAAGAAAACACGTGATGGTCTTAATAGATTCATTAATTTCGTTTTCCAACGTACCCAAGTCACCCAACGTACAGTACGTTTATACAGCATTCATAAATTCGGAAAAAAACTGAAATATCCAACGAATTATATTCGGGATTTGTTCGGAAAGTAATTAATAAGAATTTATTAATGAACTCATCAGCTGATACTTTGTTTTACGTCAATCTTCAGTTTTACAGCCAGTGATTTTAAAGAATGACGTCAATTTGACGTCATGATTGTCTAAACATTACTGATTTTTTCCAATTATGATTATAATTAAAAACTGTGATTAGAGGTTTCATATTTTAAATCAAATTATTAAAGAGTCTGGAAAATTTTTTAATAATTTGACCTTGTGATATGACATTATCATTCTGATTAAAAGCAAAAAAGGAAATCATTTTTTATGATTGGCAATGTTTAAAGGCTCAAAGTTCATTAATGTTTTAAAAAAAAATGTCTGAAAGCTACGATCATGTGGTGTTAGGAGGCGGAATAGTCGGATCTAATACTGCAAGATATTTGAAGTCGTTAGGAAAAAACGTAGCATTATTGGAACAGGTTATAATTAATATTTCAGAATATATAAATGAATTAATTGATAATACTTTTTGCATGTTAAGTTTGCATATTAAGCTTGTCTCGTCTTCCCACATTCAGCTTAAAATCTATTAAAATATCTACATAAAGCTAAATTGGAGGAACAGATAAGGATCAGATGTAACATGCAAGGAGTAAATTTTAATTTTGATATTAATACTTTTTTTTTTCCTTACAGTTTTCTGCGGAAACTAATCGTGGCGGTTCAAGTGGATTCAGTAGACTAATTAGATATTCTTATGAGGAACCGTTCTTTGCCCAGTTAATGCCAGAAGCTTATCAAATATGGAAAGAGATAGAAGAACAGAGTCAAAAGCAAGTTATTGTGTGGGTATACCTTAATTATATCATTTGAAATTTTTAATTATTGAATCGAAATTTAAAGATATGGTGGGTGATCTGTTAACGAACGTAATTCGTTCCGAGACGATGTTCGCTACTCGAATTGTTTGTTAACCGATTAATGATTTACCATAGATTTTTATGGGAATTTGATTAATTTGTTCTGGAGTCCCCCCAAAAAAATAAATAAATTATATAATTTCTTACTACGTTTATTTATGTGTAATAACAAACTAAAAGCAATCTCCATTTTTTCACAGATGGTACATCTTTGTTTCTTGGATGTGATTTTCATTACTCCTTTATCTGCCTGAGTCTTTTTGATTATAACTTTCTTAGCTAAGATTTTCTATTCTTATTGTAGACCTGTTGAACCTATACTGCCTAGTGTAAGTTTTGCCAACGTTGAGGGGGAAAAAGTCTATCTCACGTCAGAATGAGCCTTAGGGAAACCGCGTATGTGGGTGGTGGCGAAGGAGGCAAATGATGTACAAGTGTTTTACAAGTTAAAACCCGTTTATTTGTTCGAATTCATGTTTACATTGATAATGGACAATTCCAAAATCTCGGTGCTCCTGGGAACGGCGAAAGTTCGTGATCTCGGTCACAGTTCGGGCGGACGAGAAGGATATCTGGACGAAGCAGAAGTTCGTTGTTACGTTGCGGCGTCCTCGGTGATCGGCGGATGCACAACACAATCTAAATCACCCTTGTAGGCTTAATCCGGAGGAGACTCTCTTTCGACCTTGAAGTTCCGATTTTTATAGTTTTTCCCCCACTGTTCGCATTTCGGATGGGTCCCTCGTTCCATTCCTCGCTTCCCGATTGGTCTCTCCTTTGTCTCCAGGTGCAAGATGAAACTTTTTCGGGTCGCGGGAAAGGTTCGATTCGAGGTGTCCATCTGATACCTCTTTGTCGACTCTGCTCGATGACTGTTTATAAAATAATAACACCTGCACTCATAACTCAGGCCGTTATTTACCATTTTTGACGTCTAAGAATTTAACGATCATTTTTCATCTTTCATCTATAAAAAATTCCCTTTTTTTTTGTTCTAAAAGGTTTATCTCGATCAACATTTTATAGACACGCGAGTCAAAGATCTACCTGTTTATGAGCGCTCGTGTTAGAGTTTGTCTTCCGCTAAGACCTTAACAGATAGTTGACACATACTCGAACCATTCCGAGTCTCGTTGTTTACATTTTGTGTTGCACAAGAATTTCACAGTTTACTCGAGTTCGAACCTCGTCTGGGACCCTACACTAGCAACATCAGACATCATCTTCCCACTCTCTACCTTGACTATTATCTCTTGCTTAGTTTCTATGGTGAACACAGTTCTTGACACTCCACTCTCTTTAAGCTCCATAATATTATGAGATTTTTTAAATAAAAAATTCATGAAAGCACTTACAAAAATTCAGAGAACAGAAACAGGTTTTTTGTGTTTCATACATACAAACAAACAAATTACTTACAAAAGCAATAGTTTAACTCATGGTAAAATGTCTAACAGAAGTGATAGTTACAAACCATGTTACTCTGAAAAAACCATGCAGCCTTCCAGTTACTATGCAGCATACAAAGCATAGGGGGAAATGTAATTGTCTGAATGTAATAAATAGTAATGCATAATGCATTACTATTCATACAGCATTTTCATACAATTTCATACAGCATTGTCTGAAATTACATTTCAGACAATGCTGTAATGCATTGTCTGAAATGTAATAAATAGTACCTCAAGAAAATTTGTTATATTCAATTGAATTANATGTTTTTTAATATAAATTATTTATATAAAACCAAATGTGTAATTATTATTATTTTATTTTTAATTAGGTACTGGTTTCAAAACTTCACCAATTATTGGAAAGATACTTGGAAATCTTGCTCTAAATCATCCAATATCATATAATTTAGAGCCATTTTTAATATCAAGATTTAAAAACATGTGAAATTTGTACCAGTAATATTAAGAATTATGTAAGATGAATGCTTTGCTTTACTATAAAAATTTTACATGATTTAAAAATAATTAGCAATATATTTTGTACTAAAGAATAATACTTTTTCTTCTTTGACAAAAAATTGATCTTTAATAATGAAATTTACTTCAATTTCTAAGTGCAATATGAAAATAACTAAATACATTATTTTTATAAAGCAATTATATTAAAATAAATGCAGAGAAAAATTTATTTAGTTGTTATTTGAAGTTAGTTGTTTGTTATAATTATTTCTTTTTGTGGGTTTTAATTTAAGAACGTGATACAATTTTTCAAGTCACACCCTCATGAAAGCAATAATATTTCCTCATAAAAACTGAGATATATCTGGTACAAAACAAAAAGATAATGATCATAGAGAAAAATATATCTTCCCAAGTCTCATTTTGACATTTTTCATTAGGATTAATACAGATTTCCTTATTAAATAATACTATAGAACTTTGATTAAATCTTAATTGTATTAAAGTACATTTAACAAAATAATTAATATTTGAATTAACATACCATTCTGTATAAAAATGAGACTTGATGGAGCAATATAATTTACAATGAGCCTGTTCTGCATCAGACCAATTCTTTTGTAAGTTCTGTTCACAATAAGATTTTATAATTACAGTAGATCATTATCCGAAACAGTTCAGGACTGGGGTTGTTCGGATAACTGATCATTTACAAAAAAATACATTAAACACAAAACTGTACTGTGTATAATTTGTATCACAAATACGTACATTACATAATGTAGTACATTAAACTAAGCCTATAGTTTAGGTTGGCAGGGAGGGGAAGAGTGCTGCAATGCCACAGCACTAGTGGAAATTTGAATTTGCCAACTGGAATGCTTTCAGTTAACTGATGTTTCGGTTGATCGATATTTGATGCTCTACTGCAGTGATTCTCAACCACTGTGCCGCTGCACTTTAGTGTGCCGTGAGATTTTTGAAGTGTGCCACCACTGAGAATACCCCATACATAAGTAACATCAGTCAAGTAGTTCAATCATTTCTAACTTCCAAACGTGCTTGTAACCTGGAGTTGTTTTGGAAAGCTTATAAATCTGGTGAAAACATATACAAAGAATTGCTACTAATTCTTGGAAGTGATTCATCACCCAGATAGGAGATCCGTAAGACAACACAGAATATATTAATGAACGAAATAATTTCATACAAATACCAACATTAGACACTTTTAGTTTCGTTAATAAAGGTTTATTAACGAAACTAAACAGCCCCTATTTCACTTCTACCTTTTTTTAAAATATGCTTTTTTCACAAATAAAAACAAACCTGATGAAAACAAACAGTACTCCCAAATAAATATATTCTGAAGCAATATCTAGTAACTGGCCTTTATAATACCATTTATCATGAGAAGATGGCTTACCACTTTTTTTAAACACCATCATTTTATGATTTAAAAATTAATTTGTCTAAAACAAATCTTCACAGAATTTTACTAAGATATTTATTTTTTTCTGTAGCAAATTTTGGGTATCTGCTATAATAAGTGTGTCGTCAGCATACATCAATATATGGAGTTCTTTCTCATCAGAAAGAGACAAATTCAGAAGACTAGACAGATTGATATGATCCACAAGTTCATTAATATATAAAGAAAATAATATAGGACTTAAAATTTTACCTTGTAATACACCAGTCTTTATATCAAATGACTCTGTATATCCATTTATACTTTTTAGCCTTGCAGTAGCCTTTCTGTAAATATCTATTATCAAATTCAAAACACATTTACCGATCATCATTTTTCCAAGCACAGCCCATAACATAGAATGATTTATGCTGTCAAATGCGGCTTTAAAGTCAACAACCATTACATATAATTTCTTCTTTTCTTCCTAAGCTGTTCCTGTATTAACCCATTTAAAATAAATATTTGGTCTAAGCAAGAAAAACCTTTTCTAAAACCTGCTTGTTCTTGATGTAATATTTTCATTTTGTTAACCCACACAATTAAACGAGAATTCAAAATAGTTGTAAACAATTTTCCAAACATTCTGCTCTAATTTTATCTATACCAGGTGCCTTATTACATTTAAATTTAGCTACTACATTTTTTAATTCTTCAAAAACAATATCGGAGTCCAAAATCTCATTATAGGGTGCAATACTTAAGATATTTAGGACTCAGATGACAGTCCATATAAATTCACATTCAAATCAAATTTTCTAGAATAATACAAAAACCAACCAATGTCACTTGAGGAAGAAAACACCTTATGCTTTCTGAACTTTTCTCTAACAATAAACCAAAATGTTTTAGAATTTCTACAGTTAACAAGCTGTCTATTCAAATTTTGATGATAATCAGTTTTTTTTTTTTTAATGACAAAGATATTTTCACAAACAAAGTTGTTTTCTGTACAAAAATAAGCAGTTTTATCACTCTTTTTCATCGTGTTATTAAATAACCGTTTCAATTTCCTTTTCATTTAAGCTACTCTCTTCATTGTACCATTTTTTTGAGACTTTATCAACAGCAGACAAAAATTTATCCTTCTTTACAAAAATTATATCCAATTGCTTTGCCATTTCTGTTAAGATAGCTGTCAAAGTATCTGAAGACAGTTCAGTCATAGGATTTTGATCTATTAATGAGCCTGATAAACTGGTAAATAACTCAGCAACATTAGGATTCCACTCTGAAATTTGAAATCCTGAAACATGAAGTGGTTTCTTAGAAATTGTTTTGGTACCAGTTAAATATGTCAAAATAGAAAAATGATCAGGCCCTATCATAGGCAAAATTTAAAAGTCACCAATTTCTTCCAAGAAAAGATTACACAAAACAAATGTGAAGTCAATAATATTAGCTCCATTATGAGAAATAAAGGTAAACTCTCATATTTGCCAATGATAAGAGTGCCAATGATAAGAGTGCCATTTAAACAGATAAATTCATTATCCATACAAAAGTTAAACTCTCATATTTGCCAATGATAAGAGTGCCAT